AAAAAAAAAACAAATATTTTCCGCCCCTGCCTTTTTTTTTTTTTTTTTTTTTTTTTTTCCTTTTTTTTTTTTTTTTTTTTTTTCAGTAACTGCAAGCCCAGATAAAAAATTCCTTGCCCAGGATTTTTCCAGGAAAAAACAGAGCCTTCCCAAACAATGACCTGGCTCCGCTGGCCTTGCCCCACTGACAAGGCTCGTCCCTGAAGGATGACGGGGCGGGAGGAGCGGGATCCAGCGGGATCTCATCGTTCCCTTTTATCCCACTGAGTCAGGGTGCCAGCACTGCCCTTCCTGCTTTTCCTCTTCCCGATCCCATTAATCACCTTCTCCCTGCCTTTCCCTTCGGCTCTGACTCATCCCTGAGCCCTCACTCCGCTCGGAGCGGGCACTTGGAATGCTCGGCCTGACCCCCGGATCCGGGAGCTGGCGTCAGCACGGGGGGGGGATTTTTGGCTTCTCCGCGGGGTTTTGGGATGAGGTTGCTCCGCTGGAATGCTGGCAGCTGTCCATGAGGGAATGGAAAGCGATGGAATGGAAAATAATCTGAAATATCATGGGGTAATAGGACCTAAAGGGGTCCATCCTATTCATTGATCCCGAAAAAACCCTCTTGCGTGGAGCGCTGCTGAAACCAACGGGATTGCTCATGGATTTGGGATCTTGGTCATGGGATCGGGGCCTTGGCTGTGGGATTGGAGCATTGGCTGTGGGATTGGGAACATGGCCACGGGATTGGGAACATGGCCACGGGATTGGGACTTGGGCTGTGGGATTGGGAACATGGCCATGGAATCAGGACCTAGGTCATGGGATTGGAGCCTTGGCCATGGGATTGGAGCCTTGGCTGTGGGATTGGGAAGATGCCCATGGGACTGGGGCCTTGCTCATGGTTTTAGGACCTTGCTCATGGACTTGGGCCCTTCCTCCTGGGTTTAGGGCTTTGCTTGTGGCTTTGGAACCTTTTTTGTGGCTTTGGGACTTTTTTGTGGCTTTGGAACCTTTTTTGTGGGTTTAGAACCTTCCTCGTGGATTTTGGACCTTCCTTGTGGTCTTGGGGTCCTAACACAGCCCATCCCACTGCTCCCACCCCATGGCCCCTGCCCAGGACCACAGATCCTGGGAAAGGCTGAGACCACGGGATAAGGAAAGGATTTGGGATTGCCACCCACTGCCGTGGGGAACACAAGGATTAGGAGCACCAGAGCACGGATTTTTAGGAATATCTTTATTAAAACCCGCTGCAAACACATTTTTGTTCAGGTTCTCTTGGAATTTCATCCCGAGAGAGGTGCCGGGATAACTTTATCCTGCAAATCCAAGAGTTTCACCCTGGGCAAACACAGCACTCATCCATGGCAAAAGAATTCCCAGGAGCAGGATGAACACCCCGTCTCCTGTGGAAGACAGAGCACCAAATGATCCTGCTCCCATCTGTGGGATTCACCTGGATAACTCCCAGAGGAGGATCAGGATGTGGCAGGAAAAATGGGAGACAGGAGGTGGGATCCAGGTGGAATTGCACCAGGAGGGAGGATGCCACAGCAGGAAATACTCCATTAGGGAGAATCCAGCCTAAACCTTGGCACAAATTCCCGTCTTCCCCCAGCTCCGCCGTCATTCCCCACTGGAACACACAGAGGTTGCAACAGAAATCGGGATCAAGGATTTTTTTGGGGAATAAACAGCACAGCTCAGGTTTTTCCCAGCTCTGATTCCACCCTCATCCTTCCTTTTCCATCCTTATAGCCTTACATCCCATAAAAACCCCCAAGGCTGCCACTTCCCAAAGACCCCAAAGATCCCACAGACCCCAAGCTGGCAGAATTGCATGGGATAATTCATTCCCTTCACTGATCCGGCTATTCCCAGCGCTCTGCCAGCTTGGGATTCGGGAATTCTCGGCAGGATTTCCAAGAATCCCTCTGCAGCATTGCCCCCCGTTCTCTCAACCCCAGCAGCGCACGGAAAACTTTCCTTCCAGCTCCCTTTTCCTGTTTGCGGCTCACAATGGAGCCCCAAGACAAGAAAAAAGCAGGAAAGGTTTTTCCTCAGCACACGGAATGACAGGATGCAGCTCCCTGCCCACCGCAAACTCCTTTGTGTTCCATTCCCATTCCCGGAGCCCCAGGGACAAAATAATTCCAACAGAAACTTCAGGAACCCTTCAAACCCTGTGGCTGGGCACGGATAAACCATGGAGGAGGTGCTGCTGGATGTGCCCCTCGGGATTCCGGGGAGAATTCCCGCTGGAAAAGCTGGAAGTGGCTCAAGGAATTTTGGGAAGCACCCGGGTAGCAACTTGTCCTGGCGAGTTTTTGGGGAGTTATGAGTTTTAATAATAATCAGCAAATACTCCAATTCCTTACGCAGGGAAAGAGGGAAAACATGCTCAGCCTGGAGCCAGGAAGGATCCTTCCCAAAAAAACTGATCCAACAGGAAAAGCTTGGCCTCCCATGCGGCTGATGGGAAGGAGAGCATTGTTTGCTGTGTTTAGAACAGGATCTAGGCAGGATACTCTGGTGGTTATTCCAAACACAGCTTTTCCTACTTTTATGCCATTCCTTGGCTCCGTGCTGAGCCGTTTTCCCTGGTTTCAGGGATTTGTAATAAAACCCCAAAAATAACCCTTCAACCCCACCCTGGCTGGGCCTGCAGGGGCCTGCTCCAGCTCTGCCGGGGCACATCCCAGCTGAAAACCCTTCTCCATCCCCACCCCAAACCCTTCTCCATCCCCATCCCAATCCCTTCTCCATCCCCATCCCAAACCCTTCTCCATCCCCACCCCAAACCCTTCTCCATCCCCACCCCAAACCCTTCTCCATCCCCATCCCAAACCCTTCCCCATCCCCATCCCAAACCCTTCTCCATCCCCATCTCAATCCCTTCTCCATCCCCATCCCAAACCCTTCTCCATCCCCACCCCAAACCCTTCTCCATCCCCACCCCAAACCCTTCTCCA